AAAGCTACCTGTTTCTCATTTAAGGGGGCACCTGGGTGGCTCAGTCGGTTAGGTATCCGACCTTGGCTCAGGTCATGATTTCACTGTTTGCGAGTTCAAGCCCCACATCGGGATCTATTCTGATCGCTCAGAGCCTGGAGCCTGCTTCAGATTCTGTCTTCCTTGCTCTCTGCCCCTGCCGTGTTCACACTCTGTCTCTCTCTCTCTCACAAAAATAAACTCAAAAAAAAATTTTTTTTAAGAGGAAAAAAAACCCACATGGGCACATGACGGTAGGTTAAGCCTGGGAAACTTAAGCTTACCTAGTTAGATCAGCAATTGTTAAGACAGTGGCGGAGCCAGAAAGACCGAGAAATTTCATGAAAATGGGGCTCTGTTTTTCTCTTCAACACCTTGGCCAGTATAGTTCTGATATGTTTATTTCTTTTGGTTTTTAATTTTCTTTACTGTGAGATAATCATACATAGAGAAAAAAGTATAAAACATATATACAGTGTCATGAGCAAGCTATAAAGATACAAACACGAGTTGTGTTTTTCCACAATGTCAGCCTTATTCAGTCATAAAACAAGATTAACATAATTATTAAACAAGTTCAGGATTCTGAACTCAATGACATTTCACCACGTGATTAACTGGGGTTTACAAGTCACACAACAAAAGATAACACAGCCAGTAGGAAGTTAACAAACCAAACCAGAAGTCTGTGGGTGTGCAGTTGAGATAAAGCCTCAGTCTTGTTGGGTCACCTCTTAGCATTTACATATTATGTTCAAGCACTGAAGGATCTCAGTTTTGTTCTGAGATCCATCAGGCAGAGCCTTCAGCAGCAGCTGCCTTTTTGAAGTGTTCACAGAGGGGTGTCTGAGGTGTCTTGATAGTTTGCTAAAATATCCTCCCCTTTTTTTTTATAAATTTTTTTTTAACGTTTATTTATTTTTTGAGACAGAGAGAGACAGAGCATGAACGGGGAAGGGTCAGAGAGAGGGAGACACAGAATCTGAAACAGGCTCCAGGCTCCGAGCTGTCAGCACAGAGCCCGACGTGGGGCTTGAACTCACGGACCGCGAGATCATGACCTGAGCCGAAGTCGGACGCTTAACCGACTGAGCCACCCAGGCACCCCTATCCACCCTTTTTTTATTTAATGTTTTTATTTATTTTTGACAGACCAAGCATGAGTGGGGGAGGGGTAGAGGGAGGAAGACACAGAATCCCAAGCAGGTTCCAGGCTCTGACCTGTCAGCCCAGAGCCGGACTTGGAGCTCAGACTCAGCCAAAGTCAGATGCTTAACCTACTGAGCCATGCGGATGCCCCTTTTTAATTTTTTAAAAATGTTTATTTTTGAGAGTGCACAAGCAGGGGAGGGGCAGAGAGAGAAGGACAGAGGGTCCAAAGCGAGCTCCACACTGACAGCAGAGAGCCCCATCCAGGGCTGGAACTTGTGAACCACAGTATCTTGACCTGAGCTGAAGTCAGATGCTTAACCAACCGAGCCACCCAGGTGGCCCAATCCTCCCTTTTTTAAAGGAATTTAATCAGTCTTCGGCTCCTGCAGAGCTCCTCTGCTTCTGCTTGTTATCAGACTTGTACTGGGGTACAGTCAGCAGGTGCTGGTCTCCTCAAATATCTGATTGCTGTAGTACCCTTAACTGCTTGGTTATTGCTGGACATAAGTGACTCGCTCTCTACAAGTTTAAAGAATCATTATAAAATGAACAGCTGGGTGACTACCACCAGATCAGTGAGCACAGGATGGACCCATTCATCATTCACCTAGCCACCATTCATCAACCCCCTAGGTAAATACTATTCTGGCTTTTATGAGAATCATTTCCTTGCTTTGCTGTTTCTACCATGCAAATATGTGCCCCTAAACCAAGTAGTTTATTTTTCCTGTTTGTAAGCTTTTCACAAATGGAGTAACATGAATTTTATTACACTTCTTTTGTTCAACATCAATCATGTACAAGTTCCAGGTTGTGGGGTTTCCAGGTTGTATGATATATATCCTTATGCCAATGTGCAAGAGAGTCAGTAGGGCATACCGTTAAGAATAGGGGGGCGCATAGGTGGCTCAACTGGTTAAGCATCTGACTCTTGATTTTGGCTCAGGTCACGATTTCACAGTTTATGAGTATGGCTGGTGAGTTTGAGCCCCGCTCTGCACACACTCTCTCAAAATAAATAAGGTATGCCTTTCTTTAAATTTAATGACAAACTTGGGGAGTCTGGGTGGCTCAGTTAGTTAAGCATCCGACTCTTGATTTTGGCTCAGGTCATGATCTCGGGGTTTGTGAGTTCAAGCTCCACCTCTGCTGTCAGTGCAGAGCCCACTTGGGATTCTCTCTCTCCCTAACCCACTCGTCTATGTGTATGTACTCTCTCTCAAAAATAAATAAGCTTAAAAATTTAAAAAAAAATTTACTGGGGCAACTGGATGGCTCAGTTAAGCTTCTGACTTTGGCTGAGGTCACGATCTCACGGTTCATGAGATAGAGCCCCGCATCAGGCTCTGTGCTGACAGCTCAGAACCTGGAGCCTGCTTTGGATTCTGTGTCTTCCTCCCTCTCTGCTCCTCCCCCACTCGTGCTCTAGGTCTCTCAAAACATAAATAAACATTAAAAAAAAATTTACTGACAAACTTTTTAAAACTTTTCTCAAAATGTATCAGCAGTTTGGTTTTTCTGTTGCTCTATGTTCGTTCTAATGCTTAGAATTGTGAGAATTTCTTTTCTGGCCAATCTTCTAGGTAAGCGATTGTATGATGGGTCTATTTTGTATGTATCTCATTATTTTACTGATGATACTGAGCACTTCCCCCATGTTTAATATTTGGAGTTTCTCCTTTGCAAAGAAACTGTTCAGGTCTTTAGCCAATTTTTCTTTTGCCCTTTTTCTTATTGGCCTGTACATGTTACTTAATATTCTACATACTAGTTTGGTGTCAATTATGTGTTGTCATTTTCTAATATTTTCACTGTATAGAGACTTTGATAAATATAAATTCTTACTGTTCTTGTAGTTGAATTTATGGTTTATGCTTTACTGTCTTAAGAAATCCTCCCCACCTCAAGGTCATGAAGAGTTACATAGCTTTTAAGAGTTACATAGCTTCATCTTTCATGTTTAGGCCTGTTGTTGCACCCAGAATTGATTTTAGTGAATGGTGTGAAACAGGATCAAATTTCACTTTTTCCTTATGTGTAGACAACTATTCCATTATGCTTTCACCACTGATCTTCCATGCCCCCTCTATTATTAGTGCACATGTAATTATACATCAGTTCCTAGGCCAGAGTCTTTTTCATTTTCAAAACCACTCTATGAGGATAGAATTAGCTCCATTTTGCAGATGAAACTAAACTCTGAAAGGTTAAATAGCTTGCCTCTCTATTCAGAGAACTAAGGGACAGAACCAGAATTTGAGCCAATACAAATTGGCTTGATTTTCATATATCAAGATACAGGAAGTTTTTAGTGTTCCGAGGAGTCTAAAACTCATTACAAGTCTAACCCCTTCTATCTTGCTATTAAATATTGAAATATGACTGACTTGTTCATTTTTCTTCTCTCCAAGTGATGGGTAAAGAAGGAAGTATTTGTATTCTAAGTGCATTTGAGAAAGCATATAAAATTAAGTATTTATTTTATAGAACCATGAAAACAAAAGAAAAGAGCTTTATTTCCTAGGTTGCTTTTCCCCCAGGGACTTTATAGGTGACAAGTAGGAAAGATATTTAATTCAGCAATAGACCAGTTTTATTTAAAGCAAGGAAATAAATTCTCCCTTTGAGGTAGATATTCTTAAGCTCCAAAATATACATTTGCTGGGTATTCTAGTCCCCTTGTGTTGAAAAGAATTGGAATTTAGTGTCTATGTTTAAACTAAATTAATAGGATTAAAGTAGAATATTAATCTATTCTAAGCCCTTGATTTACTAAAGCTAACAATCTAGGTTTTTAAGCTTACTAATATCATCATATAACAAAAATACTATTTTTTTAAAAGCTCATCACTGGGCACCTGGGTGGCTCAGTTGCTTGAGCATCCAACTTCGGCTCAGGCCATGATCTCATGGTTCGTGAGTTTGAGCCCCATGTTGGGCTCTGCAAGGACAGCCCAGAGACTGCCCATCTCCCTCTCTCTCTGCCCCATTCCCGCTGATGCATGCACACACATTCTCTCTCAAAAATACATATTTTTAAAAAATAAAAATTTTAAAAATTAAAAAGCTCATCACATACTGAAGTATAGCAGTGAAATTAGATGACATCTAGAATTTGCTTTAAAACATCTCAGCAAAGGAGAAAAAGAATATTGAAAATATTGCAGCAAAATCTTCCATTACATATGGGTGATGGGTATATTACATATGGGTGATGAGTATATATATATAGAGGAGTTTACTGTTCTACTTTTGTGTCTTTTTTTTTTTTTTTTGAGAGAGAGAGAGAGCGAGCGAGCAGGGGAGAGGAGCAGAGGGAAAAAGGGAGAGAATCTTAAGCAGTCTCCATGCCCAGTGCAGAGCCCGACAGGGATTGATCCCACAACCCTGGGATCACGACCTAAACCGAAATCAAGAGCCGGATGCTCAACTGACCGAGCCACTCCAGCACCCCTTTTGTGTCTTTTTTATATGTGATATACCCTAATATTTTCCACTATTTCCCTTTAAAAGCAAAGCTGGTTGTAACCTATTAAAATTGCTTTCATGTGCCAGTACTGGGAATCATGGTCTGTAATCCATGGTCTCTAATACTTCCTTGTATGTTTCTTTTAACTATACTGAACTATTTTTGCTGTTGCCTATACATTTCTTTTCCTTTTCCCATTTGTTGTACCCTCTATCTAGATTTGTCTACAATTTATGCAATTCTACCCAGTCTTTACCAGACTTTAATAAGATACCTTCTCCAAAAAGCCTTTTCTTTCCCTGCCAAAAGAATGGTTTCCATTTTTTGTGCTACAGAAGTATTTATATACAGCTTTACAGCATTATCAACATTTCACTTGTTACTACCTGAAAAAATGCTGGGCAACCCTGAACTTAATTAGTAATCAGGATTAATAATTGACATACTAAGGTCTAACAGTAGAAAACAATTTATTTAATAAAAAACTTCAAGTAATTTTTAAGGAACATGTGAGGTGAGGTAGAAGCAACAATTTTAACACATTTAACATTCATTAAAAAAAAAAAATACAACCTTGAGAGAGATATCCTCCCACAGAAGATGGATACAGTAAAGTTAAAATTGATCACCATTTACCTAACTTAAGCATTTTGAGGCAATTACTTTACAAAAATATCTTTATTCCCAAGAAAAAAAAAGAGAGAGAGAGAGAGAAAACTAAGTAGTGTTTCAAAACAAAGGGTCATATGAACAATAGGTGAAAATAAACTTTTTATCATCAATTCAGCAAACAAAACTTCTCAAAAGAATTATTTTCTTTTATATCAAAATCTACTGAAAATAACAAGTGGGAGATTAAGGGGCAATCAGGAATTAGGGAGAAATAATAAATTTATAATTAATAGTTTAAAAGACTAGATTTAAAGTAAAAATATACCTTATACCAAAAAGCAATAGTCAGGGGAAAAATCCTGAAAAATGGTCTTTGGATCAGAGATCTCAAAACACAGAAAAGAATCACACCTGTGTCCTCATCATCATAAAGCTGTGCTTCGGTAATAAAAACAAATAATTTTCTTTCCCTAATCTCTTAAAGAATGAGCAAAATATGATAAAAACCTATAAAATCAAATTAGTATTGAAATTTTAGTCTTAAAGTTTCTCAGATCCTAGAGTTAATCCATCAATAAAGCTGGTAAAAATTTGTCAAACTCTTTCTAGGTCACACAAAAACATACTTATGGTACGTATAAACATACTTTTCAGTTTTGGGTAGACTTATACTGAAACAATACTGTGTTAAATTCTGCATAGTGATAGAACTTTATGTTTAAAAGATTATACCAAAAAAATAAATAAATAAATAAACAAAAAACTGGAACTCTGAGCAGGGTACATTTTACATTATTTCATATCCTTGGGATAAAAGTGATCTTCATAGTCTAACCAGACACTTTTCACAGCATATCCAAATTACAAATAACAGGTAATATTTAGAGAAGAACACTATGCCAGTGAAAGAAAAGCAAGGAAAACAGTGCTTTATCTTCTTTGAAAACCACCTAATACATGACAAAGACTTTCATGTTCCTCTGATGGAAGATCCATGATGTAAAATAAATTAAGGAAGATATTCTTAACACAAAATGGAATTGCAGGAAGACATTTATGACATTATTCAACATTTTGTCATTTGGTTTAAAGAAGTGCTAAATGGATAATAATGTACCTAAGCAATAAGGTTTATATATCATAGCCTAAGACCTTCATATAATTTTTTTAAAAGATGATTTATCTTAATAACCCATAATATGACTAGGAATAATTCTCCATTTTTTAATTCTTTTAATTTAATTTTTCCACACGAGAGCACGAGCAGGGGAGGGGCAAAAAGAGGGGACTGACTCAGAGCTCAGTCTCACAGACTGGATCTCACAAATGTGAGATCACGAACTAAGTCAAAATCAAGAGTCCAGATGCTTAACTGACTGAGCCATCCAGGCACCCCTTTTTGTTTATATTAATGTTCTGTTCCAGATTAAAGAAAAATAATTATAAATTATTGTGAGAGGATCCAGAAGGGGTAAGAAACATGCATTCTGCTCCTAGGGCAGCAGATCAAGTCCCTTTTCTTCCCTTTCTCCCTTCACAAATCATCCTTCTCCATCACCTTCATTATTTCAGTTTTTGCTTAAAATTACTTCCTGTGACAGGGCACCTGGGTGGCTCAGTTAAGTGTCCAAACCTGATCTGAACTCAGGTCTTGATCTCAGGGTTGTGAGTTCAAGCCCCATGTTGGAGTCCACACTGGGCATGGAGCCTACTTAAAAAAATAATGATAAAGTAAAATAAAATAGGGGTGCCTGGGTGGCTCAGTCAGTTAAGCCTCTGATTCATGGTTTCGGCTCAGGTTACGATCTCACAGTTTGTGAGTTTGAACATCACGTTGGGCTCTGTTGGGCTCTGTGTGCATGGACAGTGCGGACCCTGCTTGGGATTCTTTCTCTCTGTCTCTGCACCCTCCCTGCTCCCTCTCTCTGTCTCTCTCTCAAAATAAATAAACTAAACTAAAATAAAATAAATAAAAATAAAAATAAAAATAAAATAAAATAATAAATTAAAGTAAAATAAAATAACTTCCTGACAATTGTTTTCTCTCTTTCCTTTGTAAAATCAGGTCTTTGAAATATGCCCATAGAAAACACAGGACACTAAGTTTTAATTATACAAGTACATAAAATACTCACAAAGCACAAATGTGACCATATACAAAACAAAAAGGATATTAATTTTTCTGAGTTTAGATGATGAAGTAACTTCCCCAAAGGAGGATAGCGGTTTAGTGAGGGTACACATCCCAGAAGAATCAGTTTATGTTTGGCTCTGGTTATAGCAACATTAAGACGTCGCCAATCTCTCAGGAGTTCACCAAGCTGAAAGAAATAATTTTCAATTTATTTGAGTTTTCTTATATATTTAAGTTTGTTATAGCAAAGAACAGTTTGTTGTGAACTATTTTCCTACTTTAAGCATATAGTGCAGAAAAGATTCACCAACACATTTAAAATTCTATAGGCAGTTGGAAAAACTTGTTCACAACACCAACTTACAAATATTTTATCTTGGGTGCAATATCCTAGCTATAATTTAAGGAACTGAAGCTATATCCACTCGTTATAACATTGTTGGTTACAGCAATAAAAACTTGTAATAGCAGAAGACTCAGAGGAATGATTAAACTGACTGGGTAGCTTCATCGGTTAAGGATCCAACTTCAGCTCAGGTCATGATCTTGTGGTTCGTAAGTTCAAGCCCTGCATCTGGCTGTCTGCTTTTTCCACAGTGGCTACACCAGTTTGCATTCCTACCAACAGTGCAGGAGGGTTCCTTTTTCCCCACATTCTCACCAACACCTGTTGTTCCTTGTGTTTTTGATTTTAGCCATTCTGACAGGTGTGAGGTGATACCTCATTGTGATTTTGATTTTGATTTCCTTGATAATTAATGTTCTTTTCATGTGTCTATTGGCCATCTGCATGTCTTTGGAGAAATGTCTATTCCTGTTTTCTGCCCATTTTTTAGTTGGATTGGTTTTTTTGGTGTTGAATTGTATACAATTTGGGGTTTTTTTTGGTAACCTATAATTCCTTTATGCAAACAGATATGAATCAGTATTCATATTTGCTTTTTTTTTACACAGAAGGTAATGTATGTACTCTAATGGACTTTCCTTTGTTCACTTAAAAAATAGCTTACAGGGGCACCTGGGTGGCTCAGTCGGTTAAGCATCCGACTTCGGCTCAGGTCATGATCTCGCGGTCTGTGAGTTCGAGCCCCGCGTCGGGCTCTGGGCTGATGGCTCAGAGCCTGGAGCCTGCTTCCGATTCTGTGTCTCCCTCTCTCTCTCTCCCCTCCCCCGTTCATGCTCTGTCTCTCTCTGTCTCAAAAATAAATAAAACGTTAAAAAAAATAATAATTAAAAAAAAAAAACAGCTTACAGATCTTTCCATGTCGATACACAGAAAGAGACTTCATTCTGTTCTTACAGTTGCATAGTTTCTTATTGTATATAAGTGTCATGGTTTGTGTGTATGTGTATATCTATCAAAATATCTATCTATATAGATATATGTATATGTTTTCATGTATATGTGTTTTTAGTGTTTATTTTTGAGAGAGGGAGAGAGAGAGAGCATGAGTAGGGGAGGGGTAGAGAGAGGGGGCAGACAGAGGATCCAAATCAGTCTCTGTGCTCACCAGAATGGAGGTTCCTCAAAAAATTAAAAATAGAATTACCATATGATCCAGTAATTTCACTACTTACTAGGTATTTAACCAAAGAATACAAAAACACTAATTTGTATGTACCCTAATGATTATTAAGCATTATTTACAACAGCCAAATTATGGAAACAGCCCAAGTACCCACTGATAGATCAATGGATTGGTATATATACATATGGAATACTTGTGAGCCATAAAAAAGAAAGAAATCTTGCCATTTGCAACAGCATGGATGGATCTACAGGGTCTAATGCCAAGTGAAATAAAAGTCACAGAAAGACAAATACTATATTATTTCACTCATATGTGGAATTTAAGAAACAAAACAAATGTACAAAGAAAAAAGACAAACAAAAAACCAGACTGTTAACTCTTAAAAAACAAACTAGTGGTTACCAGAGGGGAGGTGGGTAGAGGGATATATGAAATAGGTAAAGGGAAGTAGGAGTACATGATCACCATGGGCACTGAGTAATGTATAGAATTGTTGAATCACTGTATCACAAACGTGAAACTAATATAACACTGTATGTTAACTATACTGAAATTAAAATTAAAAAATAAAAAACAGGGGCACTTGGGTGGCTCGGTTGGTTGAGCACCTGACTTCAGCTTGGGTCCATGATCTCATGGTTCATGGGTCCAAGCTCCATATCAGGCTCTGCGCTCACAGTGTGGAGCTTGTTTGGGATTCTCTCTCTTTGCCCTTCCCCAACCACCACACATGTGCATGCATGCTATCTCTCTCTCAAAATAAATAAACAAACATTAAAAAAAAATTCTGATTATCTGTAAAGGTGAGAACTGAGTGGAAGAGGAACTGGTAGAAAGGAGACTTTTTACTACATATATTTTTAGAACCTTATGAAGGTATCTCATATAATCTAGAAACAGGAATCAAAAGAGGTAAAAATGCAAAAAACAAAACAAAACAAACAAACAAACCCTGGAATTATATATAAAATTAAGAGTATATCGAAGGAAGCCTCTATGTTTAAAATGCCCCAAACACAACAGCCAAAAGATGGAAGCAACCCAAATATTCACTGATGGATGAGCAGACAAACAAAAGGTGCCCTTTCCATGCAATGCAATATTATTCAGCCTTAAAAAGGGACAAACTTCTGACATACTACACAATGGATGAATCTCGAAAATACCACGCCGAATGAAACAAGCCAAGTACAAAAGGACAAATACTGTACAAGTCCACTTAAATGAGGTGACTATGGCAGTCAAATTCAGAAACAGAAAGCAGAAGGATGGTTACCAGAGACTGGAGGGACAAAGAATTGGAAGGTTGTTATTCATGGGTATAGAGTTTCAATTTCTCAAAATGAAAAAGTTCTGGAGATCTGTTGCAAAACACTATGAATAAACTTAACACCACTGAACTGTATATTGAAAAATGGTGATGATTTAAAATTTTACATTACATTTTTACCACAACCTAAAAAAAAGTAAAGAAAAAAATGTCCCAAACAAATCAGAAGAAAATACAATGAACTCACAGGTCCATCTTTATTACTTCTAACAAAAGTTACTAGAATGATACTTTTGTCTCTTCCTTGGTATTTGTCTACGGTGTTAACTTCAACCATTCCAATAGAAGAATGGGACAATAAATCATTGATGATCTTTAACTGCTGCCTGTATGGTGCAATAATACCAATATCAGAGGGTTTACATCCAGCCTAAACAGAAAAAAAACACAATGAAAATGAAAATCCTGATTTCTGTTAAAGCTTTACTAAACTTATTAAATGTGTGCCCAATTAATGTTTATAACAGATCCTCTTGTTGCAAGGAGTAAATACAATTGCTAAATTTGCTCTAAATCTATATCTGTATTTCCCGAGATTAAATAATTTCCTCAGGGCGCCTGGGTGGTTCAGTCGGTTAAAGGATCCAACTTTGGCTCAGGTCATGATCTCACAGTTCATGTGAGTTTGAGCCCCACATTGGGTTCTGTGCTGACAGCTCAGAGCCTGGAGGCTGCTTCAGATTCTGTCTCCCTCTTTCCCTGCCTCACCCCTGCTTGTGCTCTGTGTCTCTTAATGAATAAACATTAAACAAAATTTTTAAGTAATTTCCTCAAACATGGCTCCCTTGATTTTTATTGATTCATGGCAGTATAATGGTTTGCATGCCACTACAACAGTGCTGCCATTTAACAAAAAAGTACAAAAAATACATTACACCCTGCTATCCCTTACACTGAAGTTTCCAATCCCCAACCATACTGATCATACTGACTACAACCCTACATGACACAATCAGAATTATCTGATGTTACAAAAAATTAACCTAAATGGAAACCCAAATTACCATTATAAAAAATTATATCCTAGATAGTTTTCTCAAAACAGAACAAAAGCAATCAGGCTGCATCTTAATGAACAAGGATTAACGTTAATTCTTACGTTCCTTGCATTCTAACATTATACTGCATTTCACTTTAATATTAATTAGCCCTCAAAATTAAAATTTAAATTACCTTAATAAACACTGAGGTCAGGAAAACTATTAGTTTGGCTTCTGTTATATTGCTCACACCACCCTTTTCAACTTGTTCTGGTGCTGGAACCTAAAAAGAAAAATAGGTTAAGAGTACTGTCAGTACACAGGTAGCCATAGAGACTAAACAACCAGTTGTGGAGACCAGTGAAAAATATTGTCATTTTAAAAACTGAAGGTAAAAGATGGGGTGCTCGGGTAGCTCAGTTGGTTAAGCACCCAACTCTTGATTTCAGCTCAGGTCATGATGCCAGGGGTCCTGGGATTGAGACTCGTGCTCAGCATGGAGCCTGTCTGGGATTCTCTCTCCTTCTCCCCCTCTCCCCCACTCACTCTAACTCTCTAAAAAAAATTAAAAGTTGAAGGTAAAAGAATAAAAATGAATGACATTAGCCACTTTCAGAAAGTCACCCAGAGGCAGCCCATCTTAAACATCCTACAGTTGATTAAAATCTCTGTGAAAGCTGACCACACATTGGGCTTCACATAACTTCCTTTGTTATCTCCCAGTTTATAAGCATCAGAAGCTAGAAAAGATAAGTAACTTGCCCAAGACTTCACAATAAATCATAGCACTAGGATTCAAACCTAGATCTGACCCTAATATCTGTTCTCTTTCCATATTCTTGTTGCCTTTTATTTTTTACTTTTATAATTTACTTATTTTTAAATTTACATCCAAATTAGTTAGCATATAGTGCAACAATGATTTCAGGAGTAGATTCCTTAGTGCCCTTACCCATTTAGCCCATCCCTCCTCCCACAACCCCTCCAACAACCCTGTTTCTTCTCTATATTTAAGACTCTCTTATGTTTTATCCCCCTCCCTGTTTTTATATTCTTTTTGCTTCCCTTCCCTTATGTTCATCTGTTTTGTATCTTACAGTCCTCATATGGGTGAAGTCATATATTTGCCTTTCTCCAACTGACTAATTTCGCTTTGCATAATACCCTCTAGTTCCATTCACGTAGTGGCAAATGGCAAGAGTTCATTCTTTCTGATTGCCAAGTAACACTCCATTGTATATAGATATACACCACATCTTCTTTATCCATTCATGAGATGATGGACATTTGGGCTTTTTCCATACTTTGGCTATTGTTGATAGTGCTGCTATAAACATTGGGGTGTGCATGCCCCTTTGAAACAGCGTACCTACATCTCTTGGATAAATACCTAGTAGTGCAATTGCTGGGTTGTAGGGTAGTTCTATTTTTAATTTTTTGAGGAACCTCCATACTGTTTTCCAGAGTGGCGGCACCAGCTTGCATTCCCACCAGCAATGCAAAAGAGATCCTCTTTCTCCGCATCCTCGCCAGCATCTGTTGTTGCCTGAGTTGTTAACGTTAGCCATTCTGACAGGGGCGAGGTGATATCTCACTGTGGTTTTGATTTGTATTTTCCTGATGATGAGTGATGTGGAGCATTTTCTCATGTGTCAGCTGGCCATCTGGATGTCTCCTTTGGAGAAGTGTCTATTCATGTATTTTGCCCATTTCTTCCCTGGATTATTTGTTTTTTGGGGTGTTGAGTTTGGTAAGTTCTTTACAGATTTTGGATACTAACCCTTTATTGGATAATGTTATTTGTAAATATCTTCTCCCATCCCGTCGCTTGCCTTTTAGTTTTGCTGATTGTTTCCCTCGCTGTGTAGGAGCTTTTTATTTTGATGAGGTCCCAGTAGTTCATTTTTGCTTTTGTTTCCCTTGCCTCCGGAGACGTGCTGAGTAAGAAGTTGCTGCGGCTGAGGTCAAAGAGGTTTTTGCCTGAATTTTCCTCTAGGATTTTGATGGCTTCCTGTCTTACATTTAGGTCTTTCGTCCTTTTTTGAGTTTATTTTTGTGTATGGTGTAACAAAGTGGTCCAGGTTCATTTTTCTGCATATCACTGTCTAGTTTTCCCAGTATCATTTGCTGGAGACCATCTTTATTCCATTGGATATTCTTTCCTGCTTTGTCAAAGATTAGTTGGCCATACATTTATGGGTGCATTTCTGGGTTCTCTATTCTGTTCCATTGATCTGAGTGTCTATTTTTGTGCCATCTTGTTACCTTTTATACAAATAAT